TGGCACTCTCCAGACACCCCCACAAAAATCCCAAAGGCGCCCACAGCCTCAAACAAGTTGGGGACCCTGATGCATAAGTTACCTAGCATATCCAACTGTACTCTGCAGCAAGGGGAGCGGTGGCGCAGTGGGTATATCCCACTGTCTTAACATCCGAACGGTGTCAGTTCGAGCCCTGCGCTGGTGTGAGCAGCCAGCCTGTTGTCCCCAGCTCATCGTCCACCCAGCGATTCGGAAGCCTCGGCGAGTAGATAAAATGGGAACCACTCCTTAGAGAGGGTGGGCACACCAACTCCCCTGTGGGAAGGTGTTAGCTGTCGGTTGGGACGTCCTGCTCCATGATCGGAAGGCGGTAGAAACTACTCGGCAACAAGAAAAATCCCTGCAGTGGGATGCTCCGGCCAGGCGGTGGCAGTGTGGCGATATGACATACGGGTCCTGAAGCCCCAACATAATCAAGCCGGTCGAAGCCAGAGACGTTTCCACCGTGCAGTTACGGCGTGTGCAATTAAAAATGAATTATATGTTGTCATTCCTATCCCCTATGAAACACTGTTAGTCCCCTGTCTAAAAGTGTAACTGTAAATCACTTTGAGCCCACTCGTGGGGAAAACGATTCATAAATCGAAAGCATTATTACTACTTGAATTCAGAAGTATAAATGCCTCAGTTTTCTACAAGCAAAATTGTAAACGCACACAGTCCTAGAGTGAAGGAACCCTTCACAATTTTAGTACATGCACCTACGTTTTTGCCACCTCAGAGCCAGGGAAAAACAGAAACTAAAAGTGCAAAAACAAACTCTGCAGCAAGAAACTAAAGTGTGTTATTTGGGCAGAAATAGTTTCCACAAGGGGTGTGCAGGAAAAAAAAATCGTTTTTTTAAAAATTTGGGTATAATAAAGCCAATTTCCCCCCGTATTCCCGAATATACCCGAATACCTATTGGTACCCGAACATTTACATTATATCCTATGGTACCATTGTAGACAGTGGCAAAAATCTTCTAATAAGGATTCAGGGGTCTGGGGGGGAGGGGGTTTGAGGTGGAGGCACTAAATTTGTGCTGTAGCTGCTGTAGCCTCTCCCCAAAAGACTCTCCAAGTTTGGAAAAGATTGGACCAGGGGGTCCAATTCTAGGGGCATCCAAAAGGGTGCCCCCAATCCTCCATTGTTTCCTATGAGTTTGGGGAAAAGGCAAGCAGGAGTATCTCCCCGAGAAAGGGGATCTGATTCGGTATGCCGAATATTCGAAAAATGCTGAAAAACTTTTTTTCCTGGTTCGGCTTTACCGAATGCACACCTTGGTTTCCACCAGTCACACAATAGGATTAATAGCATACTAGGATGTCAAAAGCTTTATAACATTAAATACACTGACCTTTTCAATAACTTATTATTATAAATGTTATAGAATGTTACTCATGGACAAAATTAGTCACACGTAAACAATAAATGTCTATTTGAAAATAATGTATGCCTACCAAACAGGAATTACTCTCCAATGCTGTTGACTGTCTTACATAAACATCTTCATAGTATACTTGACTTAAAAATCCCAAAGAGCAATATTGCACTCATTTTTCCAGTGCTACCCAAAATTTCCAAAAAGGATCCCCTGCATTTTCCAGGCCTTCACAGACATCTCTATCCTCACAGCTTCACCTCTTTTTTCTTGGGGACTGGACTCACCTTGACTGTGGATGAAGACGTGGCGATCTGGATCACCTGGGCGAGAAGGTTTTTGGGGAGCGGAAACTGGGTCAGTGCCCGCATGGCTGTGCTGTCATCCGTCATTTCCAGGGAGAAGCCGTCCCTGCAGCACAAGAGGACACGGAAATCTTAAATCACTTATTACTAGCTGCACAAGGGTTATGTACTGGCCCTATTTTCTTACAGGCCACCCTGTTTGCTTCAGGGTCTTTTTATGTGCAGCGTTAGGAATATTTGTTACAATGGACTTGGGATGCTGAATAGTTACCAAGAAGCAGGAAACTGGAAGGAGATTGGGGGGGGGGGGACGGGGGGGGGGCCAAAGCGCCCAGTCCTCACCCCATACAGCCCCCTCCATCCACACCACCCACTCCCCACAAATTCCTAGGCCTCGATTGCCTTCCCAGCCTTTAACATCCTCTCTGCAGCCATGAGGCCTGCGTTTTGCCTTGTTCTTAAGAGAGAGGTGACAGTCCCACAGAGAGTCTACACTGTCTGGACAGGGAGGGACACACATCTGAGCGTGACTGATGTCCACGGATGAGTGCCTGCGGGAGGACATGGTGGCGAGCTCCCTCTTGGTCCTGAAGGCCAGGCTCTTCTGTGGCCCACATTCTTTGCATCACACTGACCAGCAGAACCTCCAGGATGTTCTAGAGTGTGGCCAGGATCCCAGCGCTCTTCCCTCAAGCACCACGCCCCTACGGCAAGGAGACCCCCTGAGACAAAAGCTGGGCTTACAGGCACGGAGCACTCCGGAGAAAGTCCGGGCCGGGATAACCCCCACAGCCCAGAGTTTTAAGTCCCCTGTTTCTGAGGAGACTCCTGAAGCGCTACAGGGGGTGGGACTGAACCTCCCCCCCCTTCCCTAGTACCTGAGACAGTGGACCAGAGAGGCAGTTCCCGCTCCTGACAGAGGGACACAGGGAGAAGAAACCTTATTCATAGTGATTACCTCGGTCTGTTGGGCAGCTGGGCTCCATGGGGAAGCCCCACGGGGTTGGGAATGACTTCACCCTGGAAAGCAACTGCCCACAGGGGGCCAGGGGCTAGATTCCTATGGAGAAAGGTTAAAGCGCTTGGGGCTCTTTAGCTTGGAGAAACAACAACTGAGGGGGTGACATGATCCAGGTTTACAAGATGATGCATGGGACAGAGCAGATACAGAAAGGTCCTTTTATCCCTTTCTCACAATACAAGAACTCGTGGCCACTCCATGTAATTGTTGAGCAGTTGGGTTAGAATGGATAAAAGGACGTCCAGAGCCAGTCTGGTGTACTGGTTAAGTGCGCGGAGTCTAATCTGGGAGAAC